CCCTCAGCGAGGGCGACTCCGCCTCCCAGCCCAGCAGCCCGGGCTCGGCCTGTGCGGCCGCCGACTCCCCAGGCTCCGGCCTGGCCGATGAGGCCGCGGAGGAGAGCGGAGACGAGGGCTTGGCCGACCCTGCACCAGGTGAGCGCTGGCGCCGGCTGGGAGGCGCTCAGGTGGCCCCGCCCCGTATTCCGGGTGTTCTTGAGCCGGGATGGCCCGGGCCAGGCCCTCCAGGGAGCCCTGCACCCAGGGACCCTTGTGCGGGGGTAGGTCTCGCCCAGGTGGCCAGGGCCTTGGGCCAGGTAGCTCAGGACCAGGCAGCTCCACTGCAGGGGACGCTGGGCTGCCTGGCTCCTGCTGCTCAGGCTCCCGGGCAGCGTGGGCCGGGCGGCGCCACTGGGGCCTCAGCCCGGGAGCCCGTGCAGGGCCCTTCCCCGGGCCCTCGGCCCCAGGAAGCTGGGCAGCCTGCACCCAGGCGGCCCGGAGCCTTGCGCAGGTGTCGCGCCAGGACGCACGGGGCGCCTGGTCCGCTGGGGCGGAGGCCCAGGGCAGTGCACCAGCGAGCAGCTCTGGCTTCTCAGTTGAAGGCCTCGGTGGAGCCCAGGACGGACCCTGCTGAGCGCGGCCCCGCTGCTGTGTGGTGGGTCTCGCCCCCTGCACGCACTGGCATGCACACGGGCGCTCACGCGGGGAACACAGCCACCCCCGCGCGCACACGCGCACTCACACGTGCACTCCCATGCGCACACGCGCACTCCCACGCGCACACGCGCACTCCCACACACGCGCACTCACACGCACACGCACACCCACGCACACTCCCACGCGCACACGCGCACTCCCACACACGCGCACTCACACGCACACGCACACCCACGCACACTCCCACGCGCACACGCACACTCCCACACACGCGCACTCACACGCACACGCGCACTCACGCGCGCACACGCACACTCACACGCACACGGACGACGCCGGCGGCCCCTGCGCCCCGCGCGGCTCGGGCAGGCCTGGCGCTGTGCGCCTGCGTCTACCCGCGGCTGCCCTGGGCTGAGGGCTAGCTGGCGCCATCCTCTGCACTGGGCAGCTCAGTAATCATTTAACGGGGCTTCCATCATTTTTCCACCTTTTATAAATTTGAGACATTTCGATACTTTATTATGTTTGGTTTTAGGTGATGTTTTAGTCACAACTCACAGCTTCCTTCTCCCGGGACGCGGCTCCGGCTATTGCTTACCTGGGGCCTGAGCGCGACAGAGGGAGCGTGTCCCCGCGCCTCGCCCCGCGGGCTCGGGTCCGTCCTCTGCC